TTTTTTTTTTTTTTTTTTTTTTTTTTTTTGTAAAAGTGGAACGGCCGGGTGATGAGAGCGAAAGAGAGATGGAAAGAGAGAGCTCAGAGAGGAAAGATGAGTGCGAGAGAAAATGAGAGCCACCCTCCTTCGTTCCCTTTCCCCGGTGCTTCCCCTCATTATCGTAAACGAGAGTAATTTTTCAAGCCACGTCTCATCGGACGATCGGTGAAAGACCAATCCTTGCGAAGGGGCTATGGACCATTTGGGAAGAGGCTGGTACCCTACCTGCAGGGAGTCCTGGCTCGTAGAATTTGGCCCGTGAGATGTAAGGGTGTGTAGAGTAAAATTTTACGAGATAAAATCGTCTTCGCTCTTCGGGCTCGATCCGGATATCGAAGGATAACGGGTCCTGTAGTGGATGCTGGGGACGGAGCAGAACCAGTTTCACTATTCCGCGACCCTTCGGCAGGTTCGCTACTGGTAATGCATATTTTTACAAGTATCCATAAAACCCGCGTCCTTCAGCGTCGCGGCGCCTCCTCGTTAGAAGCGCCGATCCGGTTCCTCCTCAGGGCGCCCATTTCCCGAAGGAAGAGGCTGGGGTGCGGATGGAAATGAAAGGCGAAAAGAAACGGAGCAAGAAAGTAGAGAGAAAAAAAGAGCCAAGATCTCAGCTTCCCTTCGCCAGATCCACCTACCGCCCTCCCCCTCCCTCCGACTCACCTAGATTCCTTAGTTACCGACGGGCGCAGTCCCAACAATGAGATTCGCGGAATTCCCTGACAGAGATCCCGAAGGATCCGCTAATGGCCGCCCGGGACTGGCTTTCCAGAGCAAAGTCCTTCGGGATACCTAAAGCCGAACTGCTCGTTTTAACTGGAAATAATTTAGTTTTAATAGCCGGGTACGATGAGAGTGGCTGAGCGGGATCGAGCAGAATTTTTTGTGCCCTTTGATCCCTTGGACCGAATCAAAGAGCAAAGGGGACCCTTGCTGGTCGTCATCATCAGGACCCTCCACCAACCCCTTCGCCATTTCAAAATTAGGATAATTAGGAGCAATTCTGACTGGAATTAAAGTTGGGATAAGATTACTCCACTTTTCGTCTCTTGACCTTCTACCCCTCCCCTCCCCCTCCCCCCCCCGTCACGCACCCCCGTTATACCTTCTCTTATCATCCAGCTCCCTACTTCCCTCAACCTCTGCTTCTCTTATAACCATTTTCTCCCAAAATACCCTCTCATGCTTTTTCCCATGAGCCACTCGAACGCGTCGACCTTCCAACCCCGAAGCAGCGACGCCAGCGCCATTTTACTTAAAATCTTACTTGAGCTTTCGCCCCCCCCCCCCCCCC